AGACCATGCATCAAGATTGTAACAACCAAGAAACTAGGTACAATAAGATAGATTTAAATGATAGGGGTTTTACTCTCTTGCTTTGTTTATAATTTTCTTGCAAGGGAATAAAAGTAAAAATTTAAAAAGGCAAACTGACTAAACAAACAAACCACAAAAAAGAAAGAAGAAGAGGAAGGAGAAAAAAATCAAATAAACAACTGAAAAAAARAAAAGTCCACAAAGTAGGTTACTGTTTTGTTTTACTAAGAAAGAGTTAACGCTTGATCTTTGACTCTCCCTAGGTAAACCAGCTGTTCCTGGACTAACAGTAACTCTGGTCAAAGCTGCTGAATTGTCGGTTAGACTGACATGGAAGACACCTGACAGTAATGGAAAAAAAATAAACAAGTATACAATTTACATGAAGGAAAACACTTCGGGTGAATTTGCTAAAATGGATGATGTGGACCCAGCAGTACTGGAATATACAGTAACAAAGAACATGGAGTATGGAAAGATATACAAATTYGTAGTCACTGCTTGGAACACACTTGGAGAAAGTGAATATGATGACACAATGGTTAAGAGTATAACAATGMCTAAGAAAGAAAGTGGTAAGAAAAAATATATAAATTAAAAATTATAATAAATGATAATCTTTTGGGTTCTTAAGAATGTAAATTGTATTGGAAAACACGGGTGTCGTAATTTAGCAGCGTACCACACTGAGCATGCGGTGGTTATGGAACAGATCCTCTGAGAAATTTGAACAGGGGAGTATTCTGCGCGACCATGCGCGTCGACGCTGACCGTGAATTCATTATTGCTGGCTCGCCTCAGGGAAAGTCCTCTCTCTCTAAAGCGTGGCGGCAAAATTCGAATTCGAACATGTGTCGCGCTATCGTTTCGTTTGTATTTCTAACACTTTTATGGTGTTACTCATAACGTGAAAATACGAAAATGAAATGTGTAATATGAGGAAAAGTCATTTCTGTTAATCGAATGAAATTGTTTATGGTGGCTGGCTACTTATACGGGACATTGTCAAAGACAAATCCTGGAGTATCCTGTGGAGAACGCCCATAGTATCATTCGCTCAAAAACCAAATTGCCATGATACCACTGGACAGCTACGTAAAAAGGCAAAATCCACATTTCAAGCTAAACACACACAAAAACACTTCAAGGAACTCCAACTAAATATAAACATCCTAACTTCACAACCAACCATCTCAGAATCCTTAAAGTAAAATGTGCTGGTATACTATCTAATTTATTTGTGGATATATCAAGAAACATTGAGGAGGAAGAACTAGTTTTGAGGGATAAAAGAAGAGTGCTGTATTGCCCAAAGTATTTGGAAAAGATCAAGTCAAATGTAGGACACTGTCATTGGGCTATTGTGGTTTACACCAACCAGTACCAGAAAAAAAGACAAACTGCAATTATTGTTGCACCACCAGATAAGTCAATGCTGTTATGTTTTAGCAGCAGGAGGCAGAAAGTTTCATTGTCTGAAAGCCATTCTCATGGTAACCAAGGAGGAATCTTGGCCATAGCAACCTATGAACAAATAGACAGCTTTGTTCTCTTCCTTGAATATATGTGTTTGCATGACTGGGGAAGCAGCATATCAGGGGCCAATATTAGTGTAGTACAGTAAAAACCTGTATAAGAACCTCCTTTTTTTACGGTTAGCCTCAACATTTACAATTTCTCATATAAATACGCTTTCTGAAAGGTTCTAATAAAATGGTACTTAAAATGGCTAATCTTAGCCTAGCATGTTCTTAATTTTTAGGTTCTTATATGGCGGTTTTTACTGTAGCTGTGAATAACTAATTTTGTCTGCTCATATGATATTTAAAATAGTTAAATTAACTTAACGAAGTTAATATATTAATTATCACTTCTAATACATCACATGTAACAATGTGACAAAAAAACTGCTAAATACAAACAGGTTTAATAATGTCTTGTCCGATTTTGCCAGCTAATTCAATATGACAGGACGATAATAGCATTAGTGAGGCTCAGCATGATAGAAATACTTGTGTGATATTCTTCCTAGATTTCTCACAATAACATATTTACAATAACATTAGCAGGAAATATTCCCGAAAATATGCCACGGATTACTTTGAAATAAAAACGCGTATTGAATTTTCAACAACGCTTGTCGAGTGTTAAATTCAATAAGAATTTTACCAGATACTATGCCTAGCAAAAGTGTGGTCATAATCTCAAGAAAGCATCGGAATATTTTCTCCGATTTTGAGGCTAATAAAACCCACAAAAAACAAAGAAGGAAAGGACGATAAAACTAGTTCTAATGTCCGAACTGTGATACTCTTTCTAATTGCGGGAAATTCACCGTCAACTAAGTCTAAAATAAGGTTTCACACATAATATCGTAATATTTTCGCGCTGTATTTATCTGAATGAGAACCACCGATTGAATGAGAACCACCGATTTACATTCTTATATGTTATGAACAAACTAGAGAACTAAAACTTACCATAAGACAGGGTTTTGAAGCAATAGTCTTCGTTATGTATCAGATATCCACCTCTGGTGTCAGTCCCGTAAATGGATAGCATTCCAGCCACAATTACACATCAAAAGCCCGTTTAGCCATTTCTTGGATTGTTGAGTGTAGAAAATCATTTAACGACACACCAAAGGGAGCAGAATATAGATTAAAGTGAATGGTGAAAATGAAATTTTCGTGCAGAACATTTTTCGCTTGCAAGCGCAGCAGAATACTCCTCTGTTAGAAATATGAGGGCTGTATTAGCATTTTTTCTCGGACCTCCCTCCCACTCCTTCTCTTTCCAAGTTTAATAGAGGGCAGTGCAGGAGCAGTCTTAACTCAGTTGGCCAGCGCACTGGCCTTCGAGCTAGAGATCTACAGTTTGATCCTTAGGATCTCCGCATCATTTTTGACCCCTCTGTGCTCTGTTTAGCTACATCTTTGAATACCCGTTATAAGGGCACTGATAGTCCGAGGGGGTAAAGGACGCAACTTCCAATGCTATGCAATGGATAAGGCAAACTACTCCCCGCAGTTGTAAAACAAATATTATCTTTTTTTATTTTATTTATTTATTTATTTTTATTTTGGTGGATTAACTGAACATGGAAAGATTAGGGCGTGCCAATACAACAACTTCAGTGATAAACGCATAACGTTTCTTGTTAAATCTATTGATGCCTCATTGCCTTACCACTGTTTTCATTACTATACGCTTATGGAGACAACAGTCGCAACAGAGAAACCAAGATTTTGCCGTCAACAAAAAAAAGAAGTTTTTATTTACATACTCTGATTGACATTAGCGTACTGTCCGATTTCCCCGTCGAGATTGTTGCCAAACAGCATGCGTCAGTGAAAACAGTGCTAACAGTTATTTATTGCAATAACGTATGTGACCAAAAAGTAAAAAGTTAGGATACATGTTAGCATATTTCGGATAAACTGCCCACAATGCGCGCTAAAATAAAGCTGTTTTGAAAACATTCAATGTTTTGAATGTTTTCAATGGTTTAACATCCCCTTGAAACAATTAGAACTATGGGCAACAAGTTCTGTCGCAAAGAAAAGGTGAGAAAAATATTTACATAACTGCTTTTCAAGAAATTGGACCCGGAAGTCGTTTTTCCAAACAAGTGACGTCACACTTAAAAGCCTCATAGCTTTGTTTAGTTGTTCCCAATAAGCATTGACTGACATGATTTCGCGTTTTATATTTTAGATCCAAACAAAGGCAAACGCACCACTAATGTTGACGGAGAATCCAATGCTGCAGTGATTCCTGGTGTAGTAGGAGCAGTCTTGTTTATGTTGTTAGTTGGAATCATTCTTGGTATCATTATTATCAAGAAAAAAGGCCTGCTTAGCAAAGGTAAGGGATCGGGTATGTCATGTTATAGAACTGTATCACGCAACAGCCATGTTTATTCCTATGAGAATGTAAAGCTCTTAGCCTGTGTAAAGTCATCCCGAAGTGCTTGAATGCGGGGCTAACGGGGCCAAGACCTGTTCCGTGCCAGCCAACATGGCCGCTACGTGGAAAGGTCTATTGTCTTTGTCAAGCAACGAGTCTCCATGCTGCCTACAACACCAACAAAATAATAACAATGAGAATGAGAAAAAGAATGATGATGATGATGACGATGATGATGATGATGATGATGATAAATGTCACTGTTTGACCAGTGTTTGCTTAAAGGATTGCAGAGCGTTTTTTAGAAAATTGATTTTGATCGCCAAATTGCTACTACTATGGGCCTCACCGAACCGTATTTTCCCAAGAGTTCAAAAAAAAATTTTTATTATGCAGTCAGGCAACGTCTTGCAAAGCCGTTCGCCCGTTTACGTCGTTAATGCAAAGCATCTGCCCTCTTTTTGTCCAAATATTTTTACCCATTTTTTTCCTCTTTGTTTCTCCAATTTATCGTTTTTTTTTTCGCCGAGAATTCATTTTTCCTGCAAGACATTTTTTTTTTCTATAAACGAAGAGAACAACAAAACGACTGGTATGCCCAAAACCCATCAACACGTTCCTTTCCTTTCGAGGGTGAATACATTGTTTGTCGCCAAGAAATGGGGCTAAAGGAAATTTAGGCAAAGTTAAAGTCAAGGCACGCTGACCAGCGGTCTTCGGTTGCCGCGGGGACGCCTTCAGGGGCTTCGTGGCGCGTGGCATGCTACGTTTGTTGATCGTCGCGGATCAAAACGTTGCGCTCAATTGCTGCTTTTTATTCCTCCCGCCCACCCGTCAGGGATTGGTTTTATCAGGTAAGTATCATTCTCCACTGACTCGGTCAGTGTGAATGGTGCCTGGAGGTGGACCGGGTTGCGTGGCCATGGTTACAGTTTTCAGGGACCCCCCTCCAATTCATCAGTGCCGATGAGCTCAACACGATGTTGAACCCGTAGTATCTAAAACCTGCAAGCATTTGAGGACTCGATATCGCTGTCCCCACATTTAAAGCTGGCGTTGTCAAACGGCTACACCCTAGCAGAGGTTTTGAAAGTCCTCTTTTTTTCTTCATTTTTTAAGTCCTGCACGCATGTATTAGTTGAAACTGCAACAAAGAAAAAGTATTCGTTTTTGGCGTAAATCTAGATTGGGCATAACGGTCAACTGTTAAGTATTACAATAATTAGACAAAAAGAATCTAATTAACATTTCGTGTGACAGGTTTTGGAAGAAAGAGTCCAAGTAACAGGTAAGCCAATTTTTCAGGTTTCTTTCAGCGTATCTTCAATCTCCCTTTGGAAAATACGTCATTGTTAGAAGAAAATAATAAATGAGAGGGGTGGGGGAGTATGAAAGGAAGGAATGATTGAAGAATGGAAGGAAGGGAAAGACGAAGAAAAGAGAGAATGACTTAATGAAAGAAAGAAAAAGAATAAGTAAGAGAGAGAGAGAGAGAGAGAACGAACAAATGAATGATCGAACGAGTGAATAAAATTAAAGCAATAATAGAGAAAAATAGAAAGAAAGAAGCAAGCAAGGAAGGAAGGAAGGAAGGAAGGAGGAGGGAGGGAGGGAGGGAGGGAGGGAGGGAGTTCAGCGTGCAGCAGAACCAACAAAAATGAAATAGCAATGCCAAGCTAAAACCAAAGTAGGCATTGCAGTGCGTATTAGGTATTTGCGCTACTATGACAAATAATGGAGTACCATATACGAAAATACTTTATATAAGAGCATACAATACATGTCATTAATGTAAGGAAAGATTATTAGCTAAAAACTAGTGTGAGCTGCGTCGGACGGGTGTTTCTAATGAAACAGTAATGATGAAAAGGTAAATTGTACACCGTGAAAAAGATGAAAAAAACTTACTGACGTTTCGGACGCTAGTCCTTCGTCCTTTATTTACTTCGACGTAGGACTAGCGTCCGAAACGTCAGTAAGTTTTTTTCATCTTTTTCACGGTGTATAATTTACCTTTTCATCATTACTGTTTCATAAATGTAGTTAACGAAAGTGAAAATCTAGTGAATTTGGTTGGCAATTTGTTTTTGCTGGCGATCTATTCTTATTCTATTCAACTCTTTCATGTTTCAGAGCTGCATATGACAATGATGTCGATCCTGACTCGGCAAACCAGCAAGCAGCAGCAGCTGGTCTGGGCGGTGAGGACGATGGAGCACCGACCTACGCAGCAGTAGACATGTCCAAGAAGAAGAAGAAAAACGACATACCCGACTACGCTGTTGTTGATAAGAGCAAGAAGAAGGTACTTATAGCGCTAAGCAACTTTTCGTTGTTAATATTCATTAAATAAGTGCTATAAAAAATGTTTTTGTAAATACGTAAATTGGTCGAAAATGGCTGCCGGATGTTGGTTTTCAACCATTCCCAAGAGACACGGCGGCCATTTTGGAGGATTTAAGAAAAGAATTCATTGACAATTCTTTTGTTAAATTCCTCTAACATGGCCGACGTGAAAACCATCAATAAGCCCTAGATTCGAACCCACGAAAATGAGCCCCTTATCACGTGATTAACTAGTTATGTTCCGGGATGTTCCGGAAACAATTCAGAACCGGAAGTAAATCTAAAAAAAGTCAGTTGAATATTGTAGCAGTCTATTCGGCATCCCAGAATAAACCACTAAAACTGTTAACTCTGTCGTTTAGAGAAGGTATATTGCACTTGGAAATGAACTTGCAAAGCTTACTTTACTTAATCTTTGATAGTAATGATATTTTCCATACATTTGCCACATTAGCGTCCAGGAGAAATCATATACGCCGAGCTTGCTGACTTCAACACCGCTGGCTCATCATCATCAGCAGCAGCACCTCGACCAATAGCCTACACTAGTACCGATTACGCTGACATCACCCAGTTCCAGCAACAAGAGGAGCCAGAACCTACATACGCTAACTTCCCAGGCCGCGGTAAAAAGTATACTGACATACAGGGTATGTAAGGAGGTGTGTAACTATAAAGTTTTGTTCACATTGGACTAGTGATAGTTTACTAGCATTACTTACCATAAGTGTGAAATGACAAAGACATGGCGGCCATGTTGGTGGTATTAGCAAAGGATGCTAATGAGAAATGTTTTGTTAAATACCAACAACTTGACCCAGCGTGCTCTCAAAAAAAAAAAAAA